AGAATGTGTTGTAAAGGGTTCTGTTGTTGCTACAATGTCAAGCTTTTAACAACAGGAGACCTCTTTTTGGTGCCATACAGAACCCTTTTCAAAGCAGTTCCATATAGAACCATATACAACATATATTTAAGAGTTAAGGTTTAACAGCAGCAAAAAACGATGATAGTGCAGCACTGACTGTTCCTGCACTACCTGCATATGAGAAAGCAGATATTCCCATAATATGGTCACGATCAAGCTTTCTACTGCTGGAATGCACAGGGCTGATGTTTCAACAATCCAAATGTGGGAAGGAACTGCCTGTAATCAGACAGAATGCGTGCGAATTAAAAAAAAAAACAGAAGAGGCTTTACTTGTTAGAGTGGATTCCAAACTCCTCGTCACAAAACAGGCCAAGGTCAGGCCAAGGAGGCTGATCTCTGACAGGTAGTGTGTGATGGAGACAGAGTCACATCAGCCAAGGAGTTCCAGGAATTGGAGTCCATGCTGAAGGACTATGTGACACTGCTCATAACATCAACAAGGTTTTTGATGAGTAAAGTAAAGGTAAATTAATATAAAGATATGCATTGTAATGCTCGTGAGGGTACACTCAGTATTGTTATATATTGTTACTTGGTCCATCTCAGCACCTTTAGTCAGGGAACATAACTGAACCATAATCCACTGAAATGATATGTTCTAAGCTGTACTGACTCCACACACCCCGTCTCGCCTCCAGGCTTTTATTTTACTGTTCTGTTTAAAACATTCGGTTATGAAAAGGTACAAATACGAACTTTTCACCTGGAAAAACTTATTTAAGGTTCACAATCAGACCTTAAAACCACTGTTGTACCTTTGAGGAAACATTTACACTGTTTGTACCTTGATGAATGAAAAGTACCTGAACAGAACCTTTATTACTAACAGTTAAAGATGATAAACTCAGTGTATCATTGCTCTACTGCTCTCTTTGTCTCAGTGATAATGTTTTATACAGTTGTATGTAAAAGTTTGAATGATGTCAAATGACTTTTTTGTTGATTTATTAGCATAAATAAGTTAACACATCTTCCACAGAGAACCCACTAGAATATGGCATTTTTTCAGTTATAGTGCACAGTTTCTATTTATTTGCTGTGTTTAACATAGAAAACATAACAAAATAGAAAACATAACATTTGCGCAGGCCACATTTTATGTATTACTTTTTTCCCCCAATATGTGAACTTGAGCAAATTGTGCATTTAAGTATGTCGTCTGTAGAGATTGTGTTAACTTAGTTTTTACTTAGAAAAGTTACAAAACATGTCATTTGACCAGGCTTGCCCAAATTATCCAGGTTTATATTTAGATTTCTATGTGTTGAACATTCCCAAAACATCAGCACAGCTGTAAGTTTACCAGTTAACATCAAACATTACTCTGAAAGTTTTTCACATTCTCACTCTCTAATAAATCTAAAAAACTTTTAAAACCAACAAAGTTTGATGGCAAAACTTGATTTAGCCTTTAAACTGGAAAATGGGCTAAAGCTGGATCACGGGTCAGCTTGAATAGCCGCAGTAATTGCTTGAGGTTGGACAGACAGCGCAGACCGTTTCAGTGCTAAAAGGCTTTTTAAAGCAGGTAGAGGATTGTGTCTGTTGCCGTCTTCACTCCTTTATTCACCTCAGCTCAGTCGTTTTTTTCTTGTTTACTGTGTCTATTGGCCAGGTAATGAAGCCGGCGTGTTATATTGCTTTGCTGTCAGCCACTTTATGCAACCGCACGCTGTTTTCTGTAAAGAAGTGCGGAAGGGAAACAATACCTATAAGCTATTTATGCTGTGGATGAAGGAAAATGACTTTAAACAGCCTGTCACTTACAGTTTTTATGAAGCTCCTGTGGCAACAGAACAGACTGCGGCCTCCCATTTTAATTGAACATTTCATTTCAGCTCAGAGAATGGTGTTTTATTAATCATTTCAGTAATAATTTCTGCACATTTATTGGTAGAAGATGAGACATGAACTCAGCCTTAGTGTCTCTCTATTTATACTACTACTGCCACCACTAATAACAGTAATAATTATAATAATAATGCTAATAAAAGTCAGCTAATAACACTTCAAAAGTTAAAGCAGTTGCAGAACAGTGTTCATTGTTTTTGATGACTTAATTGGGTGAATATATAGAGGTTGCTGCAGTATTGCATCTTTGCATTGTTTGCCGGTTGATAATTGGTGGCTAAAGTGTTGTTACATTGTTGCTATGGTATTCCAAGTGGTTGTTAGGGTGTTGTTAAGATGTTGCTGTTATATCCATCCATCCATCATCTAAACCGCTTATCCTTCTGGGTCACGGTGGGGTGCTGGAGCCTATCCCAGCTGTCATTGGGCAGAAGGCAGGATACACCCTGGACAGGTCGCCAGTCCATCGCAGGGCAGACAGACAGACGCACTCACACCTAGGGGCAATTTAGCATGTCCAATTGAACCCAGGCCATTCTTGCTGTGAGGCGACAGCGCCACCCACTGCGCCACGTGCTGCCCTGCTGTTATATTATTATTATTATTATTATTATTATTATTATTATTATTATTATTATTATTATTATTATATTCATGGTGGTAGCTGTAGTGTTGCTAGAATACTTGTATGATGGTTTAACTACAGAGTTTATACTGACTGTGTTGGTAGAAGAGGTGGAGATATCGCTGCTCTCAGAAGAAAACCTCGTATCTCCATTTTTGTTGTTTTCAGTTTTTGTCATAATTTGAAAATGCCCATTGTCCTTTACATTGTGTGTAAATTTCATGAAGAATGGACCAGAAGAAATGACCCAAAATGACTTGGAAAGAAGTCTGGTTCCATTGACTTAAATTAAAAGTAAAGTGTGTTTTTTCCTCCTCCTGTAAAGTTACCATTTTGGACATGTGAAACGGCGTGTAGAGAGTTTACAGCTGCTGAAGCTGCTGCAGCGGTTTTGGAAAGTAGTGATGAAGATAACGGAGCATTTAGATATGAAACATATGAGGATCATGTTATATGAAGAGCCTTTAAGGAGAGTTTAAGAAGAGATGAACAGATCAAGAGAATTCAGAGGGTAAAGACAACAATTTTCCATCTTTGTAATATTGCTGGTTTCTGGCCATCCTCAGCCTAGCAGATGTAGAAACACTTATCCATTCAGTTGTAATGTTCTCCTATCTGGCCTCCCTGTTAAAGCCCTCAGTATGTTACAGTATGTACAAAATGCCGCAGCTAGGATCCTCACCTACTCTAAGGCCCAGCCCCATTTCACCCCTTGCCCCTACTACTTAGCCCATAGCCCTCTGTTTTGCGCGTTCACATCTAGGGGTAGGGTGTCCCAATTTTTGTTCAGATAGAGGGGTAGGGCGAAGTGTTAGGGCTACATGGCCTCCAAACAGAGGTTTTTCAGAGACACTTCAAAAAGAAAAACCGGCAAAATGGCAAAGAAACCCACAAATGTGAGAATTTTCTCCGTTAAAAATTATATTAACCATTGTATTATCTTAGTTTAATGTCGCTTCAGTGTATTATGGTCATTTTCTTCATAACAAGCATAAAAAAAATCGCTAGAAGTATGCTAATGTCTCGGTAGCTAGCTGGCTAATTTTCCCGTTCCACCTTAAATAGTCCAGCAGTTCTGACACCTGACGACTCTACTGGGGAACTGCTGCACCATTTAAGGTGGAATGGGAAAATTCGAACAAGAACCTGGTGAATATCTGACTTCAGCTTCATATCACTAAAGAATTAGGGGGGGGGGGGCGATCATAAGTAATTGTCTTATTCCCCCTCTTTGAAGGCATAAGATGCCCTAAATATAACTAAGCCCTGTGGCGAGGTTGCTGGACTTTTTCTTCTCTGCTGTCACTGAAGACGGGCCGGATCGCCTACAGAGCAACGCTAGTAGCTGTTAATGAAGCAATTGTTATTATTATTTTTTTCATTTGCATGATTTCAACCACTACCCTTTGTAACTCCATTCCAAGGGGTTAGGGTGACACTTGAAAACAAGGGGTAGGGGTAAAAAGAAGAAATGGGACTGGGCCTAAGAAGACTGACCATATCATCCCTGTCCTTCAGAGTCTTCACTGGTTGACTTTTACATCACATGTCCAGTACAAGGTTCTTTTTATCAAATATAAAGCTCTGCACAGCCTCAATCCTCGTTACCTGGTTGAGCTTCATCTGTATGTCCCATGGTGTAACTTAGGATCGCATAAATTAGGCCTTCTTCATGTTAAATTGATCTCCATGGGTGGTTGAATATCTGCAGCATTCACCTAGAGAACAGGACAGGCCTGAATGATTGACCCCTATAGTCTGGGGGTCCATTGGTTCTATTGTTTAGGGGGTGCGTTTTGCTGGGACCAAATCAATACAAAGCCATTCTAACTGACCCTCTTATTTTATAATGAAACATTTCTATACTGATGGGAGTGGTCTCTTCCAGGATGACAGCGCCCCCATCCAAAAAGCACGAAGAGTCACTGAAAGGTTTGACGAGTATGCAAACGATATAAATCATATGCTGTGGGAGATTTTGGAGCTACGTGTTACACAGCGCTCTCTACCACAGTCATCAAAGCAATAATTTCGAGTTTCCTCCTTCCAGTAAGGTGCCAGAGAATCTACGCCAAGGAGTATTAAAGCTGTTCTGGCAGCTGGTGGTGGCCCAGCATCTTACTAAGACACCTTATGTCAGTTTTTCCTTCAATTTGTCACCCGTCTGTAGCTGCATTAGCCTCGTAGCTCCAGAGCTCACACTAAAGAAGCAAATTTCAGACAGCAAACATGTCTCAGCTGATCGACTGCATTTAGAAGAAGAGGGAGAAACGGAGAAAATTAGATTTAGTGCCAAACCATTTCTCTAATGCTGCAGTACGAGAAGCTACTGGCATGCAAATTTATTTTGTGTAAATGGCTGCTTTTAAAATGACTTTATAACAGAGAAGAAAAGTTAAATGTACTCTCTCTCTCTCTCTCTCTCTCTCTCTCTCTCTAGGTCAGTGGGGTAGGTGTATGGGGGAGGAGTGTGGTTCTGGCGGTGTTCAGACCCGGATGGTGTGGTGCGTTCACTCTGAAGGCTGGAACACGCACCACTCTAACTGCAGACACGCTGACCGGCCCGACAGCCAGCGGCCCTGCTTTAAAGTCTGTGAGTGGCACCAGGACCTGTTCGAGTGGGACGTTTCGGAGTGGGGACCGTGCTCTCTGGCCCCTCTACCCTCCAACGAGCTGCTGAGGTAAAACAGATGAATAAATGCCCCGCATACAGCAGCGGATAAAGCCCAAAGTTCGTGCTGAACAGCTCGTGCCTTCTTTGTAGTGGAATACGCTAAAATACACAAGTTTAATTAAGGTGTCCTGTGCTAAAATGCTAACGGTTGTATAGGTGTAGTTATTTTGCAAAAACACCTGAGAAAAAGTGATAAAGTCATTCATCTTAGCAAAAAGAATTAATTTGCCCAGGAAAAAATAAATAACTAAATAAATAAATAAATAAATAAAAAATAACAAAACAGTTAGTGGTGATTTTATGCATGTCTGTTTGTTCATTCAACCATTTCCAAACCTCTCCTTGAGAAAATGCAGTATTATTTGTGGCTCTCATTCAATACCTTGTTTATCTGTTCAGTCCTTTATTAAATTGAATCAGGTGCTGTTGTTGAAACTGACCAAATCCATGTGATGTCTGACGGTCAGGAGAAATCTGGAGCCAAACTTGTGCACTTTTAATTAGCTCACAAAATATCAATGACCTTTTCGAAAACGGGAAGTACTTTTTACTGCATTAATGTTTACTTTACATTTTTATAGTGTTATCTTGATGTTTTTATTAGCAGAGACACATTTATTGCCCAGATGGCTTTAAACCATTTGATTTGAGCTAAACTTTTTTCACAATGCTGTACATTTAAACAGAATTCTCAACAACTAACTCTACTCTCAGCTGTGTGACTGTCAGTGAGTCTCTCTTTACCTTTATTCCAGCTTCCATTCTTTTCAGGAGACTCACTTTCAGTTCCTCAAAGAATCTGCAGACACACCTCCAAAGTTCAGTCTTAGAAGATGGTTTCACTTTGTCTCAAGATGAAAGCTTTAAGTGCTGTTTATCTGTGGGGGGGCAGTTTTGGTGTCTACCGGCTCTTCCAGGTGGTTGTTAGGAGACACGTTTCTTTGCTTTTTTTTCCTTAATTATGCAAGTGGATCGTCTCATATCTAATCTCTTCAAGTGTCTCATCAAAAAGTAATAAATAACTTTTACTGGAAATTAAATTTGGTAATCTCTGACTTTTCCACAGTACTGTGTTTATTTGTGTAGGTCACCACTCAGATGTAAGCAAATTTGTGGCACTGACCCTGTTAAGGCCTTTAGGCAGAAAGGTCATTTTTTTAGTCTTTTATCTAAGGGAGTGAAGCTCGTATTCAGACGACTCTCAGGTGGATTTGATCTTCTGATCAGAGGCTATTACAGCAACATGTGGATTCTGCGCCTGCTCGAGTTCACATTGTCATTACAGCAAAGGAAAGACATATTGAATACTTAGAAATTTGAAAAATAAATATTAAGTTAAAGATTCTACTTTTCATTGACATTTTGATGATACATTAGACAGGAATGCATATATACACAGAGCAGGTACTGTTTGGGTGGTGGATCATTCTCAGCACTGCAGTAACACTGACGTGGTGTTGGTGTGTTAGTGTGTTGTGCTGGTATGAGTGGATCAGACACAGCAGTGCTGCTGGAGTTTTTAAATACCTCAGCATCACTGCTGGACTGAGAACCGAAAACATCCAGCTGGCAGCGTCCTGTGACCACTGATGAAGGACTAGAGGATGACCAGCACAAACTGTGCAGCAGCAGATGAGCTATCGTCTCTGACTTTACATCTACAAGGTGGACTGACAAGGTAGGAGTGTCTAATAGAGTGGACAGTGAGTGGACACAGTGTTTAAAAACTCCAGCAGCACTGCTGTGTCTGATCCACTCGTACCAGCAAAACACACACTAACACACCACCACCACGTCAGTGTTACTGCAGTGCTGAGAATGATCCACCACCCAAATAGTACCTGCTCTGTGAGGGTCCATGGGGGTCCTGACCACTGAAGAACAGGGTAACAAAGTATGCAGAGAAACAGATGGACTATAGTCTGTAACTGTAGAACTACAGTGGAACTATACGGTCAGTGTATATATATATATATATATATATATGTGTGTGTGTGTGTGTGTGTGTGTTATATGAATAATGATCTTTATCTGCACAATGTGGCAAAAGAAGCAACATCTGTAAACATCACACACAAGGTAATTAGTATTGTGAGTGTGAAGACAAAGCAGAATGTGATCATCACCTTTATTTCTCATTCTGTAATGTGGGAAATAATAATAATCATGATTAATTTCGCATTTAAAATGTGTAAAAATATGAGAAAACCCCTACTAAGACATGATGTGTCCATAGGTGTATAACTGCCCAGCACGGCGTCCAAAGACGTACGATCCGGTGCGTCCGAACGGCCAATGGGACGTCCGTAACCGAGCGAATCTGCGAGTTCTTCTCTCCGCGACCGGCTCTGGAACAGGCCTGTTTGATCCCGTGCCCTCTGGACTGCGTGGTGTCTGATTTCTCCTCGTGGTCAGGCTGTAGCAGGACTTGTGGAACTGGATTACAGCACCGCACGCGGCAAGTGCTGGCCGCTCCTATGTACGGAGGGTCTGGATGCCCGAATTTGACCCAAACACGCCCCTGCAGTCACCAGCTGCCCTGTCTGGACGAAGGTGAACATCGCTACAGTCTGAGGGTCGGACCGTGGAGTGAGTGCAGACTTCCGCAACATAAAGACCTGTGGCTGAGCGGCCGGACCACACTGGACTTCAGCGCGGGAGATACGGAGAGAAACACGGTCAAGAGGCATCTCGAGAACGGCCAGGATCACCACCGACATCATCATCACCAGCACCATCAGCACCACCACTCATCCAAGACACTGGACATAGAGATCGGCTATCAGACGCGGCAGGTTCGCTGCATGGCCAGCGATGGAAAGAGCGTCATGCTGAGGTGAGCTGCAGTGATCACCGATTTTCCAAATTTCAGCATAATTGAGTGGTTGAGATGTATTCATCTGAGAAATGGTATAGAAGCATACCAACTCAGAGTTCTTTACAGTGGTGGTGATAGGAACCAGGGGTCGCCATGACTACAACGCAAATATGGACATTTTATTTACTATCCAGAACCACCAGTGAACCTACACGAGTCTTCTGAGTTTATATGGAATGTTGATGATGGAAAATAGTGGAACATCTGAAATAACTTGTTTTCTTTGGGGACTATTTTGCCTCACAACACCCTGCATGTATCCCTCCACCATAACTGGAATTAAACATACATTTTAGGCCAATATGACCCGTTTTTAGAGGCATTAAACTCTTCAGACGTCTGGTTCCTATCAACAGGCCTGGGAGGGTTATTTAAAAAATATATTCCAGGACAAATTACTGATTACATGTTCAAAATATAACCTAATCCATAGGAATACTGTATTAAAGTAATGTAATCTGATCATTTCCCATTAGCTTTGCATGACTTCTGCTGAAACATATGTGGTGTATAATGATCTGTGCTTCATGTGAATATGACATTTGACAAAATAACAATTTTTGGGTGGAATTAATCAGGTATTCATTGAGGCATTCATAGATTGGAATATTGAGCCCCCTCAGCTTTACACTCCTGTTTCGTCCTGCAAGGTGACCCACTGTTCAAACTGCGCTCTGCAAACTGTTTAGACCTTTCAGTCGATACTGCCCAATATGAGTCTACCAGATGTAACTGCATGCTGCTGCTCTCAGTTTGGTTGGTTTTCTATCTTATGTGGAAAGCTTTTCATCCAAACTCTGGTTTTATTGTCTAACTTACACCATCACAAAGGAGAAAGCACATTTCTCCACATCTCACCCAATGAACAGCATCAAAAGAAACCATAGACTAAAAGTCAAGTTCACTAAGTCAAGTTGAGTGAATTGGTCTTTAGTGTTATTCCTATAAATCGCTGCTGTAGGAACAAAACCTTGTTCTCCATTGATGATTGGACTGAAGGAAATGGTCCAAAATGACTTGGAAAAAAGTCTGGTTCCATTGACTCACATTAGAAGTAAAGCATGTTTTTTCCTTCTCCTGTAAAGTTACTATTTTGGAGATATGAGGTTTTGTTCCGACAGCTATAATATATAACTTGTAAACATTGGAATAAAATGTCCTTCTTCAGACCCCAAAAACAAAACACAGCAGTACATTTAATTTATATTAACAAGTTGCTGGTGTCAAATTCAGTTTCAGCTTTTTTGGAAATGGTGTTGTATATAGAACTATTGTTTTTACTGAAGAACCATTTTTAAGAGTGGAGACCTGTGGAACGCTGCCTGGTGAATTGTGTCCGTCAGGTAATCTGTGTTCAGGTGCTTACATGAAAAGAAGCTTCAGAAAAACACCCCAGGTCTGATTCTTAAAGACTTAAATCCTGATGCTGCTGTGGAAAGCGGTGCTGTCACTGCCAGGCTGGTAGTCGAGTATTCAGCGGGATTTAAGGACAGACCCTCGCTCTGAATAACCTGGACACTCTCACATTTATCTCCTTCACACCTGGGTTCCATACAAGGTGAGCGCAGAGACTGGCAGAGCTGTGGGACTGAAACATTTAGACCTAATTTTAAAGGCTGGGCTGCATCACGAGGGCACTGACTACATACATACATACATAATCTAAACCGCTTATCCTTCTGGGTCGCGGGGGCACTGACTATTAGGTTTTTAATATGTAGTTAGAGTTTAGAATTATTTGCTTGGGTTAGGATAGATCTGAATTTGTACTTCTTGGTGGCCTCTTTATTAGAAACACCTACCTTCTACTTCCACTCACTGGCCACATTATTGGAAACACCTACCATGTACTTCCTCTCACTGGACACATTATTAGAAACACCTGCCTTCTCATTCCACTCACTGGCCACTTTATTACAAACACCTACCTTGTGCTTCCACTTACTGGTCACTTTATTAGAAACACCTACCCTGTGCTTCCTCTCACTGGCCAATTTATTAGAAACACCAACCTTGTGCTTCTACTCACTGGCCACTTTATTAGAAACACCTACCTTCTGCTTCCACTCACTGGCCACTTTATTAGAAACACCTACCGTGTACGTCCTCTCCCTGGCCAATTTATTGGAAACACCAACCTTGTGCTTCTACTCACTGGCCACTTTATTAGAAACACCTTCCTTGAACTTCCACTCACTGGCTACTTCATTAGAAATACTATGTAGGTGTAGTTACAGACTGTCATCCACAGTCATTTAGTCCCCTCTTCACCTTTTATCATTGGTCAATTTCTGAAGACAGGACCACTGTTGTCCAGATATTTGCGTGGTGGATCTTTCTCAGCACAATAGTGACACTGAAATGGATCATCAGCTTACCACCAATGAAGGACTATAGGATGGATAAAACAAACACAGCATCAACAGAGGGGCTTTAACTGTGCACATGGTAGGGGTTTCCAATAAAGTGGCCACTTCTTTTCCTGGCTTTGAGCTCATCTCCGGCAGTGTCATCGAGGCCGTGCTGGTAGACGAGGGCTCATCAGCACGAGCGCTCCAATATAGATCAACATGAAATTAACATCTATGCTCTTTGCTCTCTGTTTGTTTTTAGCAGGGCTCAGGCTCTTGATGTGCGAGTTTCAAAGCCTGGTCGCTGTTTTGGTGTCTTCTGCTTTATTCTCGCTGCTTTCTTCTTCCTCTCAGAGATGTCGCTTCGACGCGGCTCTGCCCACTCTCGCTGTCAGTATGGATTTTTCGCAAATTAAGGATAATGAAAGCTGCAGGCACAGCAGACGTCGAACACTTCTTTAAAGGTGGTTGCTCTGAAAACCATTGATTCGTCGTCACTCTTGGCCAGAACATGCCCTTTTCACGCTTCTCCCCTCGTCTCCAAATGCATGCTGTGATTAGTCATGCGAGTGTTATAGCCACATGTATGACCCAGCATTGTCATTAAGTTGTTAACACCTAGTCAGAAGCAACACTAGAACCAGCCGTCCGCCCGGCGCACTGTGACGTGGGCGTGATTGAACGTAATTGACTTGAGAACTAAGCCGGATTCCTCTCTGAAGCAAATGCTTTTTGATGTCGTATGAAAGGGAAATGTAGAATAGCGTGATCATGAGGGATCATCCCGTCTTAATCCCAGCACCAGCTTTACACGCAGACTTTTCCCACGTCTAACAAATACAAACACAACGCCCCATCTGCATTTCACACTTATCGCGGGGTCGTCCTTTCATCCTCCTGACTTTTCAAAGGCTGAGGTGCATCACATAGGAGTTGTTTTCATGTTTTTGATGCACACTAATGCGTCACGATCATCTGCCTGCTTTCTTAGAGTTTGTTAGACTGTAAATCATTTATTTCTGCTCCTAGAATATGAATTCTGATGTAGTGGAGAACGCATGATATGAATAGTCCACTGACTGGCCATTTTATCGGAAACACATACCTTGTAGTTCCACTAAATTGCCACTTTATTAGAAACCCACACTGCCTGGCCACTTTATAGGAAACATCCACAGTGTACTTTCACAAACTGGCCACTTTATTAGAAACACCACCTTGCAGTTCCACTCCCTGGCCACTCTATTGGAAATTCCTACTTTCTGCTTCCACTTACTGGCCACTTTAATAGAAACGCCTACCTTATACTTCTAATAACTGGCCACTTTATTAGAAACACCTACCTTGTACATCCACTCACTGGCCATTCTATTGGAAACACCTAGCTTGTGCGCCCACTCACTGGCCACTTTATTGAAATCCATTCCTGTACTTCCATTTACTGGCTATTTTATTGGAAACATCTACCTTGTAGTTCCACTGACTTGCCACTTTATTAGAAACCCATGCTGTCTGGCCAGTTTATAGGAAACATCCACAGTGTATTTCCACTCACTGGCCACTTTATTAGAAACACCTATATTCTACTTCAGCTCACTGGCCACTTTATTAGAAACACCTATATTCTACTTCTGCTAATTTGCCACTTTATTAGAAACACCTACCGTCTGGTCACTTTATTAGAAACCCCTACTGTCAGGCCACTTTATTAGAAACACTTACCTTCTACTTCCACTAACTGGACACTTTATTAGAAACACCTACCTTCTACTTCCACTAACTGGACACTTTATTAGAAAAATCTACCCTCTCCTTCTACTGCCTGGCCACTTTATTATGTAATCAGTTTTGAACAGTTTGAGTCTGCAGTCTGCTGAAATGAAGGTATTAATAGTGAGTTTGTCCTCCTTTGCTACAGTAACAGCCTCTACTCTTCTGGTAAGACTTTTCACCAGATGTTGAACATTGCTGTGAGGATTTGATTGAGCATTAGTGAGGTCAGGTACTGATGTTGGATGATCAGTTGTGGATCAATCCGACTCATCCCAAAGGTATTGCATGGAGCTCCATCACTCCAGAGAACTCTTTATCTGTTTCATGTTGGTTCATGTTTCATAATGTGCATTTTCTTCTAAAACAGAGTAAAATACAGATTCACGGTGTTTCAGCAGTTTGAGCCACTGTGTTGGATGAGTTTTGACAGGCTGTCAGCAGGTCCTGCAGTGCAAGTGAAGCCATGACTCTAATCCACAATGAAACAGACCATTTACACTGTACAATTAGCATATTCATTTATGAATCCTAAGTGCAAGCTTAATGAAATGCAGCGATTTGAATACGTATTTCCCACCTGAGTTCAGTTTGTGCTGTTTGTCCAATTATAGTCTAATTACCAAGTAAAATTAAACAAACATGGACGCGCGGGTTTTGATATACATAAGTAATTAAACCGTGCAAATTTCACAGATGAAACTCTAATTATGTATTGTGTTACATCTTCTAATTGGACTTTTTCTCTTTTTGCAGCAAGACGTTTAGATCTTTGCGAGAAATAAAGGCCAGATAGATGATCATCCTTTCACGTTGAGTGGTACTGCTGATGTTTCTCAGCTCAAATATTTGTCAGACTTATTGCTTTTTACTGTAATGAAAACACAAAACATAATTGTTCTTTAATTACAGGCCCTCGACAGATTCTTCGATATTTCTGCTGTGGCTCGTTGCTCTTTACCAGACTTTAATAGTTGCTCCTCATGAGTGCTGGTATATTGTGTCCTCATCAAAATCAAAGTCTGTGATATTCAGTCTACTTTGCTTTGGCTTTGTACTTCGCTTTTGTGCTCTTTCTGCAGTCGTGAACATTTCCTACACCACGGCGTCTCATCAAAAGCAGCACTGATGCCCATCAGTCACCCATTCAGCCACCGTCTTTATCCCTATTCATCAAATGCCACACAACAGAGACATCTACTCCCTCCCGAAATGTGTCTCAGAGACAGAATATCAGATATCTTCTTTTGTGTGTCTTTTCTTTTTTTTTTTAAAGCTGGATCCGTTTACCTGTCGAGATACGCTTAAAGGGTCCATTTCCTTTTTTTCTTGTTTTTTTAATTTTTTCCCTTGAGGTCTGCTTTCATCATTTGACTAATTCTATGAACGAAAATAGTCATAATTCATTTTTAAAACCTACTTTTATCCCTGAGAAATAAACAGGCTGCTTTTGTTACTGTGCTTTTATGACTAATCTTCATTATGAGTTCAACAGACAAAAAATTAGTCACCTGGGACTGAAGAGTACCTAATAGGGCATAATGCCTCCATGAGCATGAATAGCCGCTGTGATTTGATTTGGCACGGACTGGACAAGTTTCTGGATGTGACATCAATGTTCAGCCACTCCTCCAGCTTGAACCACACCTTGGACGCAGTCCTAGGAGCTCTCCAATGAACGTGAAGCTGAGCATCATTCACATACGGGCAAAAACCAGATTCATCTGACCAGATAACATGTTTCCAGTCACGAACAGTCCAGTTTTTGTGTTTCGTCGTCCGCTGTAACTGGGCAACTGTGCGAGCAAAAGTGAGTGAAGGCCTCCTGTGTGCCACTCTGCTCCTTATGTTCATGGTATGCAGCTCCCTGTGGAGGTTCTTTCAGAAATTTGTTGTGAAGAACCTGCATTGACTTCTAGAAGCAATTCTTGGCCGGAAGCGAAGCGATTTGTATTCACAAGCCGTGAAACACACCGGTGGTCCCTGTCCATCAGTTTCAACTTTCGGCCTCAATTCTTATGAGAATTTCATGTAGACTGGGATTTTAGCCACTGCTGGTCAACCTGTATGGCCGTATGCTCTTCATACTGTGGCCTTTGGCCCAAATGCAATCACTCCTTTTTGCTAATCATTAACATCTGCTTTGTGACCCATTTTTCCACACACTGAACGAGACATTCACTGCACTGTACCACCTTTTCTCAATCTATGAAACCCGTCGCATACCCCACAGGGGTTTATTGCACAAAAATCCTCGTGCAGTGCCATCTGCAGAAGCCTGAAGTTACTACCACCTTAAACTAATTTTTTGTTATAACAGAAGTTAGAATACTAAAAAGCTTCTCTAAAATATCATATCGCCTACAACAGAATTTTATAAAAATGACTGTCACATCTAGCTTTGGTGAGGTGTGGTGTAGACTACCACATGCCATAGGTATCCAAAGAAAACTGGCAGACCAAAATAGCACATTCAGTGCAAGCATGTTTATTGGTGCAGTGAAAAGGTGCAAAAAAGTGCACAAATAGAAAAAAAGGAAAATAAAGCTATTTACAAAGTATAAATAGTTTTTAGATGATTTCTTCTAAACTTCTACTCTTTACCAAATCAATATTCTCACTGGATGGTCCACAATATCACTAAGTATTAGTCAGGCAGACTCATTCTGTCACAGACTCCATACAGTTTAGCTTAAAAAATGATACCTGTTATTATGTTTCATTAAAAATAATCAGGTTAGAAAGGCTATATTTAAAGTACAGACTACACTGTAAAAAGTCAGTGAACCAAATATAAGCACACCTGATGCAATTTCCAATTATGGCTAAGTTGTTGAGCTCTGTTACACTCTTTGACTAAAATATTCATGGCCACTTGACTGCTAGCCTAAACCAGCTGTTAACAATAGATTTCTCTCAGTTTTGGTCTTAGAAATGCTGTGAGTAATCCATCACTGCTTCACATGGCAAAGCATTCTCAGAAAAAGTCAAATAAAAAGAGAAAAGCAGAGAGTGCAGGACAGAAAGGTACAAGAACATTGGTAAACTACCAAATCCAGCTGCAGCAGTTATTTGTAAGTACCCGAAGAGCCACTCTACCAATAACCAAAGGCACAGCAGCCGCCCATTCAGCTTAACTTCTGAAATAGGATCAAATGGGGCTCGAAACTCACTGGTCCTTCATCAAACCTCTATAGCTTCAGTGATTGAGCATTTTCGAGATTTGCTCTTCGCCTCTGGAACGTCTGTAACCTCAAAACATACCTGTTTTCTCTTGCCTGTAACCTTCCCCAAACCTAAATCTACTCTTCCATCCAGGCTTACTTTAAGCTGCTTCTATCTGTAGTACTGTGTTTTACAGTCTTTTTTGTTCTATGTGTTAATGTTATTGTTAGCATCTTTAGGTTCTTGAAAAGTGCTTTTTCAAGTATCATGTATTATTATTATTAGTATTATTAATCCAGTTTAGCTTGGACCTGACCAAGACTATCACAGTGACTCTGAAGTGCTAACTGTGAAGCATGGTGGAGGTAGTTTAACATGCCTAAGAGTTCAGCAGGTGTAGGAGAGGTGACTTTTAAACGTCATCATAAATGCACCATAATACTGAATGAAAAGATGATTTTCACTCTCAAAACCTTCAGAGAATCTTAAAGGGAAAAGTAGAGGAGCATCTCCAGCAAAGAACAGCTGAAAAGAATCATCTGTGAAGAGTGGCAGAATATCTCTCCACAGATTTGGTCTATCTTGGTATCATCTATGCCAAAGAGGCTTGAACAACGAAAGTGGACAAAATATTACACACTTAAAGATCATTCTTCAAAGGTTCTTTAGTAAAGAAGATGGTTCTATAAGCTGTAGATGGTTCTATGGTAGAACCTTTTTGAAAAGTATGCATAACACATCAAAAAGGGTTCTTCTATTGTAACAAGCTTGACATCGTAAAAATAGCAGAACCCCTTTCACTGCTATATAGAACCCTTTTCACAAAATGTTCTATATAGAACCACAGACAGTACATTCTCCATCAATCTGAAGAATGCTTTTATGATGCAAAGAACCCTTTAATCATGCAAAGGTGTCCTTAAGTGTTCTTGGTTCTATATAGAACCATTTTCTTTACTAAAGAACCCTTGAAGAACCATGTTTTTTTATGAGTGTAGAAAAACAAACTGTAATCCCACTAGTGTACTGACTTTTGTTGCAGTTCCTTTTAATGTATAAACCCTTCATTACAGTAGTTTTGCTTTTTTGTTATTTTGTTTGCAGCATGTGTAGTTTTTCCCGATAATAATAACCGTGGAATGATTTTGTCCGGCGTTATTCTGCAGCATGTGTAGTTGTTATAATTTTGACAGTCATATACATGAAGCAGTTAAGTTGTCAGAGTTAATATGGGGGGAAAAACATCAATTTACTGGTCATCAAAACTAAAAGGCATTTTAATGCCACAGTCAATGATTAGGCTACTGCTTTCATAGATGGGTGTAAACTACCTAACTAGCAACTTAATATGACTAACACAATTCTAGATCCCAGCTAGTCACTCTCAAACTTTTTCATTTGAACTTTAGCCCAATAGTTTCCAAACATCAACTTACTGTGTGCACTACTTAGTCATGAGACCCCCAGTGGCTCATATCACTTATAGCAAAAATGACCCTGATTTCAGGGAAATGACAAAAATATTTTATCCTAAACCAAGTGACCAGTTAAATTTCACACAATGCTTTACCTCTTCTAGTAATAATAATCCAGCTCCAGTCATACGATCACATTCAAAACTGGTTTGTCTTCCTGTCTGCAGCCTGTGCACGCAGGATGATGGACCCGGGACCTTCCAGTCCTGCGTCATGCCCAGAGACTGCCAGACATCTGAGTGGTCTTCATGGAGTCCGTGCTCAAAGACCTGCAGAGCGACCGACTTGTCACCAGGTTACCGGGTCAGAAGCCGAACCATAACGCAGCCTGTGATTGGTCGAGGGAAAGAATGTCCGGTCCTGGAAGAGAAGGAGGCTTGCAACATCATCGGGGATTTGCTTCCTAGATGTCCCAGGTATACAGCTATATCATTTATTATAGCTTACATTATAAACATCGTTTTTTAGGTTTGGTGTTCTAGAGCCAGTTATGTAAAAGATTTTGAAGAAACAACATGTGAAAGACCTTGCAACAAACACTGAGAGGTTCTAAAGAACAAGCCTCATTCACTGTTCTTAACTGTTCTTAAGAAGAAATTTCTTTTTAAAACCCACTTACGCAGATCTCACGATGATTCTGACACTATTCTTTACCAATGTTTCTTATTTAGGTAAGAATAGAATCTACACACTTTTATAGTGGCAGCAAGTGCATGAAGTGCCATTAGCGAGTGTGGAATAACAATGTAACACTCACATGGTTGCTGAGCTCTTCAAGTCTATTTTAGCTGCTTGCTGTAAGATACAGGCCATTGGAAACAAGTACAAAATACTCCTGTTTTTCACTCATGACTGGTCAGTTTCAGACTCAAAACATGATTGTGTGGTTTGGGTTAGGTTAGAGGTCGGCAACCCTAATGTTAAGAACAGCCATTTTGTCCTTTCGGCAAAAATGAAACCACCTTGGGAGCCACAACATTTTATATCCATTTTACCATCTTGTCTGTAAATATGTCTCAGTATGTGCTGATGTACTACAATAGACTAAAAAATATAAATGAAAACAGACTCACTTTGCTCTGCTTTAAGCTTTAGCTCAGCTATAGCCGCTTTTCTCACATCTCCGGCAGGAAACTTTTCCTCAAAAGTAGAACAGTTTATTGTAAAATGTCTCTCAACATTCGGCTTTTTATGAGGCTGAAATCGCCTCTCGTTCGCCAGCTTCTTGTTTGAATTTTCCCGTTCCACCTTGAATGGCGCCTGAGGTGCCAGAATGTAACTGCTGCACCATTTAAGGTGGAACGGGAGAAATCAAACAAGAAGCTGGCGATTAAGAGGCGACTTCAGCTTCATGACTTATTAGTGTTTGACTGTTTCCCGACGCAGTTTAAAGAGCTTTCGTACAGAATTTTGATGTATTCGGGTCAGTTTTGGACTCAATACATGAGTTAGGTCAGGTCGATTCATAACAAATTTTCTGTCAGAATTTATAACAATGTTCTGTCCAAAACTGACCCCACTTGAACCAAATCATCATCATTTGAGTCTAAAACTGACCCAAATGAAAAAAAAGTCTGTCCAAAACTGACCCAAACCACCTCTTCATGTTTTGAGCCCAGAATTGACAAAATGTTGTCCAAAACTGACTTGACCCAAATTATATCATCATGTTTTGAGATAATAGCCTTCATTAGAGTGCGGATCAAATATGAAACAATGTACAACAACATGCTAGTATATAATATTAGGCTATAATAAAATACTCAGCTGCCCAGTATTAGTTTAAATCCTGCTTTGATGAATGTTTTTGTCAAATAATGCTTCTGAACAGTGTTTCAAATATATTTTAGTCTGTATAAACAGTCCATACTGCACTGTTCTCACTCTGTGCTGATATAATGAGACGTTAGTTTCTCCTGTTTAATACTAAAGCTCTGTTTCAGAACATAGAACATGTTTTATAATGAACACATAATGCAGAAATATTTTGGATTAACTAAATTTGAATCATAATGGCATTAGCCTTTAGCTTCTTACAGTTCAGTTCACTCAGCACCTGAAAACGACACTGAAATGCAAGAGCAAACAACCAAACATTCACAAAGCCCTTAGTAAACAAGAACTGGAAGTGGTGATGGTGTAGTGATGCATGTAAAGAAGGAAAGACGGTTTTTGAAGAACAACTTAAGTCTGAAATGAAGAAATAAAGCATCTTTCAGAAGATTTAACACCGTGAATCGGCCCAGGATTATTCTCGGGAAGCTCTCATTGTAATAAATGAGAATGAAAGGTGAAGAAGCTAAAGCAGCGTGAAAGAGGTGGTCAATACTAAATGATTTGCCAGGCAATAATCAAGGGTTCGTTTTTTACGCCGTGGACAAATGCAGCGCAGCGTTCCTGCGAAGAAACCTGATTAATGAGACGGCGTGTTTGATAGATTACTTCAGACTGTTGTTCTATTAAAACCTGTTCTTTATTGCTTTCTGCATCATAACATTTTCTCAGAGTCGATGCATTTTCATTAGTGAGAGTTTTCAGCACAAAGCCCAGCAGATTTGTATCTTTGGGGGGGGCAGAACGAGCCCCCCGTCACAGGGTAATGAAAGGAGCGCTGCGGTGAGGTAAAGCTGCAGGTGTGCATGTTGTTGTGCAGGTACGTGTGGAGGAGCACGGCGTGGGGGGAGTGCAGCGTGGCTCCTCTTCTGGGGCAGCAGGAGCGCCGGCTGGGGGACAGTGATGCCCTGTGTGGGGGGGGCATCCAGACCAGAGAGACATACTGCATCCAGCTGACGGAGCACTCAGCCTTGGCCAATCACAGGAGAGACGGTAAAGTGTGTTGTTGAACACAATATATATATATATATATATATATATATATATATATATATATATATATATATATATATATATATCTTTACAATTATGAAAGTAATTAAAAGCCACATAAAAAGGAGAAACAGAAAACAGAAAAATATTTAAAGTAAAAAAAAAAGCTGATAATGAGACAACAGGAAATTGTAAAATTAGTTTTAAAAAGCATTTAAAAATCTAAATAAAGTAAATAAACTTTTTTTTTTTTTTTAGTTTTGAAATTGCTAACTGAAGATGTTCATATTCCCCAGTTTAGTAAACTCTACTCTAATACTCTAATGCCTGCTCACTGTTTTCTGAGGACTTTGATTACCTGGAACAGGTGACCGCCAGGTGACCACTGCGGTTTAGCAGAACCAGACCATACTGACGATTAATTAGCAAACGGAAGACATGGGTTTTCATTATTATCCGCTGGCCACGGGCAGTGCAGCCTGCTTCTGGTCACTGTGCTTATTTCGTGAGATAACAGATGGCTAATTTCAGAGAATGATAATCAGTTAATGTATTCAGCTCAGCCTCACTGTCTCTGCAGCTCTGATGGATTTGATTTTCGCTAGTGTGCAGTATTAGTGTTACCTACAATATCATCAATAACAGACGGCTGGAATGATGGATCTCCAATATATTCAGTTCCAAAGTGCACAGATGGAGAGTTGTTTGTCCTGCTGGAGTAAAAATCTAAAGAACAGATTAAAGACGCAGATTTCAGGGCTATGAAGCTCTAGTGTGGCATCATTCAGAGTGTTTGAAGTTTTAATTTATCTATCAAGTGCTGAAAATTAAACTTATGCTCTAAACGTCAATTTACAATTATGGATATTTGTTTTCACTTCCCGTATAAACATTGCCCTGGAGAGGTTTAAATGTCCAGTGCCCACCAGCAGGCCCAAAGTTTTATTACGCACTTCTTTAAACTAAGAATAGCTCAGCCAGTTTGCACTGAAGTCCCTGTAGTTACTGAATAATAAGCCTTAGTATGTAATAAGCTGTGTTTTTAAGGGTTAATGCTCTTAGGAAAGCTGCTTTGGAACAATGTTTGTTGCAGAGCCATTAAAACCAAACTGAGCTGAAGTTTGTGCCACACAGCTCTGGCCTAAGTAGTTTTTAGCCTTAAGAAGTTTTAAGAACACCCACTTCAAGTGGAAACGCAAAAGTTTTCAAAAGCAGTGTCTGAAACGCATTTATGCTCATTTAGAGAGCATTTGTGGAGTCACACACCCACACAGACATTAAGACAATGGAAGACGTTGATAAATCTGTTTTCTCCTCGTCCCTCATCCCTCTCTACTCTGTCATACTGATCCTTAACAAACAAAACCAAACCGAAGTGCTGCCATGTCTTAATCCGAGCACTATGTTCTTACCCTATGCACTATAGGCCTGGGACCACTTTCCAATAATTACAATCACAGCCACAATCAATAAGTAGAATTTACATAGCTTTCTTTCCATTTTGTATGCATGAGCGTTCTGTGCTCTGATCCATCTGAAACCCAAGTCCTTCATTTAGGGTGTATTTATACATGTAGTGTGGTCCTCTAGGTACAAATTAAAGCAAAAAAATATATATTGTTGTTAAAGATGTAAACAAAAGTAACAAACTTTTTTTCAGTTGTGAACAAAAATAAAATAAAAGTAACAAAAATGTGAATAATCTCAGTTGTGAACAAAAAAACCCAAAAGTAATAAAAGTAATAAAAAGCTTGTATAATCCAATTTATTAGTTGTAACAACAAACGTCTTCAGACCCTAATCCTCCATCATTTCTTCTGAAATGAAGGGTATTAATATTGAGTTTGTCCTGATGTTGGATGGTCAGTTCTGGATCAACTCATCCCAAAGGTACTGGATGGAGCTCCATCACTCCAGAAAACACAGTTCCACTGCTCCACAGCCCAATGCCGGGGGGCTTTATACCCCTCTAGCCCACGCTCGGCATTGGACATGGAGACCTTAGGCTCATGTCTGACTGCTCCAGAGCGTCCTATTCTGTTGGTCAGTGCTTTTCTGTAAAGATTACACTGTGATTAAGCTGTCAGCAGTCAGTGCCCAAAATGTCTGCATAATTCAGTAGGTGAGATGTAAACAGGCATGCAGAGTGGTTTGGTGTAAAATGGTTGATTGTAGAGACTCAGATGTTTTTACAGTGGTGGTGATAGGAGCCAGGGGTCGCCATGACTACAACACAGATATAACCATTTTATTTTACAATCCAGAACCACCAGTGAACCTAAACGAGTCTTCTGAGTTTATATGGAATGTTGATGATGGAAAATAGTGGAAAATCTGAAATAATAAGTTTTCTGTGAAAACTATTTTGCCTTCTCAAAACTATCATAAAAGTGTGTCTCAGTCATCAGGCAGTGAATTCATAACAATTTCTTGTAATAACTTCCTGTGAGGGAGCTTTTAGAGGTGGACGTCTGGTTCCGCTGCTGGTCTCGGCTTCTCAGCTGTGAGTCTTGCACCTCCAAAAGCAGCTGAAGCCAAAATATGGACATCCGAAAAGTGCCAAAGTGCTCATTATAAAGTTTCAGCTCCTGAATAAGGCCATGCTCCTTTCAGCTTTCAGCTAAAGGGATGTACCCGATGTCTGCATTTGCAGGATGCACCGTGCCCACTTTGTTTGAACAGTAAAAAAAATAAAATAATCTGAAAGTTCTGCAAAACTATGGACATCAAAATGTGTCATATCCAGTGAGCTATACTCATAAATCATAATGTGTTTCTAGGGAATATAAAAAAAGGTTATTAAATTATAGATAATTTCCTGTAATGATCTATTTTCAACAACAAGTTATTTGCCTCAAGATTTGGTCATCACTTTACGAATACAAGAAGTATATTTTTAAATATTCATTTAATTAAAAACTTCATTCTGAATATTAATTTTATGGGAGTTTCATTCTGGATGTTAATTTTATTAGAACTTCATTCTTGATGTCAATTTTAGTTTAACATACTTCTGCATATTAATTTTTATTATAACTTCATTTTGGATGTTAATTTTATTAGAACTTCATTCTGATATTAATTCCTTAGAACTCATTCTAATAGGCTGATTAAAGTTAATCCCTTAAGTGGCCAGCGTCCACTGGTGGGCCCAGAGGTTTATTTCAGATTTCTCCAATCTAAGAGCAGCTTAACCAGTTTGCACTAAAGTCTGTGTAGTTACTAAAGTTTCCAAAAAGTTGGGATGCTCTGCAACATGTAAATAAAAGCAGAATGCAGCGATGTGTGAATCATTCAAACCATATATTCAGTTGAAAATAGTACAAAGACAACATATCAAATGTTGAAACTGAAGTTTTTTTTGGTTTTTTTTGGGTTTTTTTTTAATATATGCCCATTTTGAATTTGATGCCAACAACACATTTTAAAAAAAATGGGACAGAGGCAACAAAATACAGGGGAACACTTTTGAAAACCACTGTTTTGCTGCATCCACAAATGTAAGTTAAAACTCTACCATGCAAAGGAGAAACCATTTCTAAACAGGATCCAGAAACACCACCAACTTCTCTGGGCCTGAGCTCATTTAATAGTCCAAGTGGTAAAGTGTCCTGTGGTCCAATGAATCAAAATTTTAAATTCTTTATAGGAATCATGGACACTGCCTCCTCTGGGACAACGAGGAGGGGGACCATCTGGCTTGTTATCAGCATGCAGTTCAAAAGCCTGCATCTGTGATGGTGTGGTGGGGCATTTCACATTTGTGAAGGCACCATTAATACTGAACAACATTTGCAGTTTTTGGCAACATATGCTGCCATCCAGACAACGTCAGGGAAGGCCTTGATTATTTCAGCAAGACAATGACAAACAACAGCATTGCTCTGTATTAAAAGAGTCTAAACAGGCTAAACTGGCCTGTCTGCAGTCCAGACCTGTCACCACTGAGAACATTAACAAAAATACGGCAAAGGAGACCCTGAAATGTTGAGCAGCTGAAATCCTATATCAAACAATAATGGGAAAACATTTCACTTTCAAAACTACAGCAGTGTCTCCTCAGTTTACAGAGTGCTGTTAATAGAGATAATGAACACAGTGGTAAACATGCCCCCATCCCAAACTTTTTGCAATGTGTTGCTGGCAAAAAATAGAAATATATTTTTCGAAATACAATAAATTTCTCAGTTTCAACACTTGATATGTTATATTTTACTATTTTAATTAAATATATGGTTTAAATGGTTTGCACATGAAAACATTGTTTTTATTTACATTTTGCACAACATCCCAACTTTTTTGGAAACAGGGTTGTAAGCCTCAGTATGCAATAATCCTGGGATTTTAAGAGGTCAGTGAGATTTTAAGTCATTCAAGAGTAACCAGAACTCAAAATAGCAAAGTATTGCCAGCTCAGTTAAAACTATTTAAAGTGATTGTGCTGTTAAGTTAACCTTACTTGCTGCAGAAGTGCAAATCACTGAAAATTAGAAAGTAACTATATCTCTAATATACAGTTATTTAAGATTGAACCTGTTAAAGCTGCACTGTGTAAGGGATTTTGGGATTTGGAGACCTCTCTGGTGGAAATGTGTAATTGCACATAATGTGTGGAGAAACATTTTGGAACATGGGTTGTGCGTCGGACCACTTCCCCAAGCAGATGAATCAGATGATTGAAAGAGAATTCAAAGAGAACTCAGTCTAAACTTGGTGAAGGAGCGTCTCTGAGGGTGTGAGTGAAATATCTACTGTTGTCATCACATCTTTATCAGTATGATGTTGATCTTGAGATCATTTGAGACCTAAACATTGAGCTTCTTTTTGAGTCTGTGTGTGTGACGTTAATACATAAAGACGTACGACGGTGTAAAAACTATGATGTCTTTAACTTTTAAACAATTATTTCAGGCTTTTTTTCACGCTCATCATTTTTTAGCCTGGTTTTACTCTCCTCACTTAGTTTTTCAACAAAAAACTTACATAGTGCATCTATAAGTAGCTGGTTTTTTTCGAGGCAGTAACTTTGCATGAATTGGTGCAGTGCTGAGAAAGTTTGTAGAGAAGTAGAAATGGATCTGAGGGTCACTGAGGTGCTTCATATCTAAAAAGGGAGGAGAATGAAGACAGACCGCATAAACAGGTCCGGCTGAGTGTTAAGGAATAAAAACGAGGGCTATTTTCGCTCAGCGCTGTTTGAGGATGAAGATCAATGTCCCTGTTTGCTCTGGACACAACCTGCCCCGCCTGCGCTGATGTAAACGGATCACTCGCCATGTTTCTGTCAAACTCTGCAAAGAGGAACACTCAGGAAACGAGGAGCAGAAGCAGCTGAAGCCTGTTGGGCTCTTTATTGCTGTCATATCTACAACTGTTTACGTTCTGAGTTTCGCTCCGTCTGACAGCGTTATGATAATGTTAATCTGTTCTGATTCTGACTCTCATTCCAATCGGTTCCTCTGCTCTCTGATCCAAACGGCTCGTTTAAGAGCCTCACTCAGCGGCGGGTTGGAGGACGTGAACTCAGAGAGGAGATTTCTTCAGCTCCTCTCAGATGTGTTTTTGCTCAGGATGAATTTCTGACCTTATCCGACTTCCCGCTGACCACTATTGATTTTTTTTTCTCTCTCTATCTCCTTTTTTCCTTTATTTCTTCTCTCTTTTGGTCTCTATCTGCCTCCTCTCCTTTCTCCCCCCCCCTCTCTCTCTCTCTCTCTCTCTGTTTCTTTCTTTCTTTCTGCTTTTCCTTCTTTATCTGCCCCCTCACTTTCTCTATTTTTGCTCTTTTCTCTATCCGTTTGTCTCTCTCTCTCTCTCTCTCTCTCTCTCCCTCTTTCTCTCTCTCTCTATCTCTTCTTTCTCTGCTTTTCTCTCTCTGTTCCTTTTTTCCTTATCTGCTCATCTCTCTTCGTGCTTTGTCTTTCTCCCTCTTCCTCTCTTCATCTATCCCCCACTCTCTCCCAATCTGTCCCTCTCTCTTTCTTTTATCTCTCCTGATCTCTCTCTCTCTCTTCATTTCTTTCCTTTATTCTTTTGTTATTTGTTCCTCCTGCTTTCTCTCTTTCTTCCTGTCCTGTCTCTTGTCCATATCTCTCTTTACTTTTTTCTCTCTTTCTTCTTCTTTTCCTTTTTGTCTCTTCCTCTTTCAACCTCTCTTCTTTTCTTTATTTCTGTCTGTTTCTTTGTTTCTTTTTTTTCCCTTTGATTCTGTCTCTCTCACTCTTTTCCCTATCACCTCTCTCTCTCCCCCCCTCTCTCTTCCTTTGATTCTGTCTCTCTCTCTCTCTCTCTCTCTCTCTCTCTCCCTCTCCAGTGTCCAGGCCAGTCAGTAGTGATCTCTGTGATGGACCGGTTCCTCTGGCGGTTCAGTTCTGTTCTCTGCGCTGTCCTCAGCCCTGCCTGCTCTCACTCTGGTCCTCTTGGGGATCCTGTCTCCACGACAACTGCATGGAGTCTCAGGGGAGGAAAGGTAGGAGAGAGAAAGTGTTCAGAACTCATAACTCTCACTCGCGGCATCCTCACTCTCAATCTCACTCTGAGACCCCTCACACTCGCGGCATCCTCACTCTCAATCTCACTCTGAGACCCCTCACACTCGCGGCATCCTCACTCTCAATCTCACTCTGAGACCCCCTCACTCTCAATCTCACTCTGAGACCCCTCACACTCGACGCATCCTCACTCTCAGACCCCTCACACTCGCCACATCCTCACTCTCAGACCCCCTCACACTCGCCACATCCTCACTCTCAATTTCACTCTGAGACTGCCTCACTCTCAATTTCACTCTGAGACCCCCTCACTCTCAATCTCACTCTGAGACCCCCTCACTCTCAATCTCACTCTCAGACCCCTCACACTCGCCACATCCTCACTCTCAGACCCCTCACACTCGTCGCATCCTCACTCTAAGACCCCTCACACTCGTCGCATCCTCACTCTCAGACCCCTCACACTCGTCGCATCCTCACTCTCAGACCCCTCACACTCGTCGCATCCTCACTCTCAGACCCCTCACACTCACTGCATCCTCACTCTCACACCCCTCACACTCACCGCATCCTCACTTTCAGACCCCTCACACTCACCGCATCCTCACTCTCAGACCCCTCACACTCACCGCATCCTCACTCTCAGACCCCTCACACTCGCCGCATCCTCACTCTCAGACCCCCTCACACTCACTGCATCCTCACTCTCAGACCCCTCACATTTACTGCATCCTCACTCTCAGACCCCCTCACACTCATCGCATCCTCACTCTCAGACCCCTCACACTCATCGCATCCTCACTCTCAGACCCCCTCACACTCATCGCATCCTCACTCTCAGACCCCTCACACTCATCGCATCCTCACTCTCAGACCCCTCACACTCGCCACATCCTCACTCTCAGACCCCTCACACTCACTGCATCCTCACTCTCAGACCCCCTCACACTCGAAGCATCCTCACTCTAAGACCCCTCACACTCACTGCATCCTCACTCTCAGACCCCCTCACACTCGAAGCATCCTCACTCTCAGACCCCTCACACTCACCGCATCCTCACTCTCAGACCCCTCACACTCGCCGCATCCTCACTCTCAGACCCCCTCACACTCACTGCATCCTCACTCTCAGACCCCTCACATTTACTGCATCCTCACTCTCAGACCCCCTCACACTCGAAGCATCCTCACTCTCAGACCCCTCACACTCGCCGCATCCTCACTCTCAGACCCCTCACACTCGCCGCATCCTCACTCTCAGACCCCCTCACACTCACTGCATCCTCACTCTCAGACCCCTCACATTTACTGCATCCTCACTCTCAGACCCCTCACACTCACTGCATCCTCACTCTCAGACCCCTCACATTTACTGCATCCTCACTCTCAGACCCCCTCACACTCGCCGCATCCTCACTCTCAGACCCCTCACACTCACCACATTCTCACTCTCAGACCCCTCACACTCGCCGCATCCTCACTCTAAGACCCCCTCACACTCGCCACATACTCACTCTCAGACCCCTCACACTCACTGCATCCTCACTCTAAGACCCCCTCACACTCGCCGCATCCTCACTCTCAGACCCCTCACATTTACTGCATCCTCACTCTAAGACCCCCTCACACTCGCCGCATCCTCACTCTCAGACCCCTCACACTCACTGCATCCTCACTCTCAGACCCCTCACACTCACTGCATCCTCACTCTCAGACCCCTCACATTTACTGCATCCTCACTCTAAGACCCCCTCACACTCGCCGCATCCTCACTCTCAGACCCCTCACACTCACTGCATCCTCACTCTCAGACCCCTCACATTTACTGCATCCTCACTCTAAGACCCCCTCACACTCGCCGCATCCTCACTCTCAGACCCCTCACACTCACTGCATCCTCACTCTCAGACCCCTCACACTCACTGCATCCTCACTCTCAGACCCCTCACATTTACTGCATCCTCACTCTAAGACCCCCTCACACTCGCCGCATCCTCACTCTCAGACCCCTCACACTCACTGCATCCTCACTCTCAGACCCCCTCACACTCACTGCATCCTCACTCTCAGACCCCTCACATTTACTGCATCCTCACTCTAAGACCCCCTCACACTCGCCGCATCCTCACTCTCAGACCCCTCACACTCACTGCATCCTCACTCTCAGATCCCCTCACACTCACCACATCCTCACACTCAGACCCCTCACACTCGCCATATCCTCACTCTTAATCTCACTCTGAGACCCCCTCACTCTCAATCTCACTCCGAGACCCCTCACTCTCAATCTCACTCTGAGACCCCCCCACTCTCGGATATTTCAACTAAATTTAAGATGTTTCACCAAGACATCCCTTTTGCAGTGTGATTGATGGAAGAGAACCTCAGCTGAATAAGCCAGACTGCGTTTATGTTCACAATCAGACTTTTAACATTTACACTTTACTTTCTAAATTTTATTGCAGTGTTTTTGGTTTTTATTCTAGCTGCCATCTCAGTGTATAAACATCATCAGCTATTCATCATTTTAATCAGCACTGAAATTCATAAGACATGTCTTTTAAATGACGTTCACTGTGAGTGATTTCTTTCTGGATTAAGTGTTGAAAAGACTGTTTCTCTTGTACAGTTGGTACAGATGTGTCTGGATTAGAGAGTAACTCAGAAGTAAAGTAATGAACAGTGAGCTTCCCTTTTCCAGGAAGTAATCAGTACAGTTAATCTCATTACAGTTTGAGAGAAGTAATTAGTCATTTGTAATGGATTTACTAACCCAACACTGGCTACCTATAAACTTGGACTAAAGTACAGACAGAATTCAGGCTTCAAGGTGGCTGCTACTGTTTTTAGCTCTGCTGTTTTTTATCACTGTAATAAATAAATAAAAAATAAATGAACTAATGAATAAATCCCAGCAAGTGAAAACATTAAATCTAGTGAATATGTGTAATATTGTTCATTATGAGTCTGTTGCAAGAATATTAGAAGCTTATTTCACTTATTTTTAGATTTTTTACCTTGGTTTTAGTCATTGTATTTTGTGAAAATGTTTTATTCCATTGGCAGATCATTTTTACTTGTTTTGAACATTATTTCATTAAAAAACTAAAATGATCTGCCAATGGAATTAAACCTTCACAAGATATAATTAATTAATACTTGAATTGCCAGTACATCTCCAGAATGCAATTTTTTTTCTATTTTTCCATTTATCTATCTATCTATCTATCTATATATATATATATATATATATATATATATATATATATATATATATATATATATATATATATATATAAAATCAACTAATTTCTATTCCACATTACGGAACATAACTGTACCATAATCCACTGAAATGATATGTTCTAAGCTGTACTGACTCCACACACCCCGTCTCGTCTCCAGGCTTTTATTTTACTGTTCTGTTTTAAAACATTCAGTTATGAAAAGTACAAATACGAACTTTTCACCTGGAAACACTTATTTAAGGTTCACAATCAGACCTTAAAACCACTGTTGGAGCTTTGAGGGAACATTTACACTGTTTGTACCTTGATGAATGAAAAATGTACCTGAACAGAACCTTCATTTCTGTCACGGCATAAAATGACTTACAGCAAGTAAATATGTTTAGAAATTAGTTGAATTATATTGTAACATTCCTGATCCCTCTTTATTTAACCCAATAAGAAATAAATAGGATGTTTTCACTTGCTAAGATATCATTTTTGCAGTGTTCATACACCAGACATCGTTGCTGATCGACTGTGTTGGGTAAATTGGGACCATTGTTTAAATTTGATTCATTTTCCTGCCAAAATATCACTGTAACGAGCTTTAGCTCCAGCTATTGTGGGGAGATATACAGCAATATCTCCTGAAAATGATCCTCCGAAGCCTGTATGTGAGTGGAGGAGCGTGATGCCTGCAGGCAGGACCAGGCTGAGGCTCGGCGTGTTCGGTGACTGACAGCTTTCCTGTCAGTGACGGGTATTTAAGGTGATAACCTGTCTGCTGTAAGTGCTGAGCTGGGGGTGGAATCCCCCATAAAGAAGCTTACAGCAGCCTGACTGACATCCCACAGTGTGCAGTTGGTGAAAGATGAACTGCTACAAGTCTAATCCCCACTTTATCATCTCCCTGTGGTCTCGTACTTCACCTGCACAGTTATCACCTGCGCTAACAAAAGCAGGCTGTCTTTTTGTTTGAATGATTTCTGACTCGTAGCTCATTGAAATAAGTGGAGAAAGTGTGTTGAAAGTACAGATTCTACAGTTTCAGTCCATAACGTGTTTATATGTAGAAGAGAGATTTTGCAGATTGGTAATAAGTGAGTAATAATATTGTGGTGTAGAGTTATGCTGCATTCACTTTTGTGTTGAAAAGTCGTTCCACATCTCATAGCGGTACGCGGCCGACAGTGGCATGAAGCTGTGCAGTTGTTGCCATGGTGACCGCGTTACTGGCAAAAATGGATGATTATCAGAGAGCAGCTTAAGCAGCGTATTGTTTATTTAAGGTGGAGAAAGGCAGGGGGACGCTGTGCACTCATTTTTGTTGTTCAGGTTCATCTGGAGTTCAGCAATGGGACGTCTGGCATCCATGGATCCCAAAAAATACACAGCCGGTTTATTCCATCGCTGCGGTCGACAGCAAAAGTTCGGAAAATTGATCTCTTGACGGAGCGTTCCACTCACAGCTAGAGATGCACCAATACCACTTTTTCCTTTCTAATATCGATATTGATACCTGATCCTTCAGTATCGGCCGATACCAAGTATAGATACTGATCCTAACTCTGTCTAAGCTTACTAACCTCTAAGTCCTGATATTTATGCAATTACATTTTTAATGTTTTGTTTTGGCAAAATCCCACGATCCTATCTGGATTAAGTGGTTAATGATGATGAATTAATATTTTGGCAAAATCTGTGTTCTGTATCACAAATAAAACACACTCAGCTTGGCTAGAAGGCAT